ATTCTCTAGGGAATGTACTTGGAACAACAGAGTCTTCCTACACACATCTCCTACCTTACTCTTTTCAGTTACATATCTCCTTATAAGAAAATAAAATTTATTTCAATAATCTTTGTGAGAGACATGGAATTGAATTTATATATAAAAGTTCCTGTGTAAATCTCTCCATATGAATACACTTTGAAAGGTAACAGGTTGATATCTGCATTCTTAGAAACTAAATAATTGGGTCAGATTTTTTGTTTTAAATTTTGATGAAAAATGTACAGAGAACACATCTTTTACTTATTGAGTATTACTCACCATTGTCTAAACATGATCAAGATTTTTATTTGGAGAATTGTTTCTTTCTGTCTCTGTCTCTCTGTCTGTCTCTGTGTCTCTGTCTCTGTCTCACTCTTTCCTTCCTTCCCTTCCTTCCTTCCTCCCTCCCTCCCTTTGTCTGTCTGTCTGTGTGTCTGTCTGTCTCTCTCTCTTTCTCTCTCTCTCCCTCTGTCTCAATCCATGTGGTGGTATAAATCCACTTCGGAGGTATAAACCCACCCCTCCTTCTCTCCAGATTGAGTATTTGTATTAGAAATAAGTCTACCAAAATGGGCTAATTGAAATACAAAATATTGATTTATATTTTAATTTTATATGAACATAAAACTTTATATGTAAAACATAAATACATCTGTAAATCAAAAGCATACATCCACACATATATAACATAATATAATATACATATATAGAGAAGTGTACTTGCATATACAAATGTTAGTGTTTTAAAATTTAGCAAACTAAAATGTATTGAGAGAAAAACATCATTGGCTGTGTTTTAATGCACATAAATAATAGTGTCACAATGCAGAGGTAATGATAAAAGATTTAAGATAAGGTTTTAGGAAAAACTTTACTATTGTATATATAGTAAAAACTTTCATAATTTGTTTCTATTTTTAGAAATAATGCTTGTGGATGACTACGTAGCATTTCACATTTACTTAGATTAATAATTTTGCCTACTATGACTAACATTATACCCAGACATTTTTCATATACCATCTCACCCTACGGATGACTAGAATATGCAATTACAAGTGTTCTCCTCCATCTCGAGCATGGGAATCACTGTCCTACTGAAGACATCTTAAAGCTGTTAATTTCCTAAAACTTGAGTCCATTTTATTTTCTAGGTGTTTTCAATATTTACAAAACGGACTGGAATATAGTAAAGGATAAATATGCCTTTGTTGAATTACACAAAATAGAAATGCTACAAGATAACAGACTTATAAGGAATTATTTTTTAAATTTCAGCTTCTATGTCTCATGTACATATGTGACTATCCAAATAGCTTATGTTATGTTTATGATACTTTTTAAACTATAACTGGATATTGAACATGTGCATTTCCTAGTCTAAGAGAATAAAGAGAAAATGCTAATACAATAGTAATCATTGTAATTTGCCTTTCAATAAAAAGCTGAAGTTGAAATTTGGCTATTAACTGAGGAGACATTTATTTGAATGCCACATTTACTAATGTTTCTTTATAAAGCAAATCTTTAGGGACTGGGGAGGTGGCTCAGTAGAATAGACCCTTCCCTGGCAAGTGCAAGGGCCTGAGTTCAATGCCCGGTTCCGCAAAAATAAAAAATAAAAATAAAATAAACAAAAAAACTCCAAATCTTTTATGGGAAGATTTATCAACATATGAGAATATTTAAATGTAATATAAAATACACATTTTAAGTATTAAGCTACTCTACCAAAAGTTGCATGCAGTACCTAGTCAACGGCTCTTAATTTTTCCTAGGTAGTCTGTGCCAGATCCTCTCTGTAATAGAGATACAGAGTAGCTCATTTGTGAAGTACTGCTCTGCTTCATTAATAATATTTACATGTAAGCCTGTTCACAGCAAATTTAGCACTCCTTAAGATGTTTCACCATTGTTTCCTGACAAAATATCATTTCTATAAGTGTAACGGTAAGCAGTCAGGGCCATGATTACAATTCGAACACATTACACATATTAAAACTCTACCACAAATGTGAAACTAAGATGGAGGTGAAGAAAGGGGATTAATGTGGGATTAAAATATTTGTTATGTGTATGTACTAGATGCCAAAATAAGACCTAACAATATACATACTCATAAATGCTGATTAAGGAGTAAAAAAAATGATAGCATCATTTCTTATCTGTTTTATACTAATAAAATAGGCACAAAGAAAAGAAATTGGGTGCATGGCAAAGAAAAAGAGTTACTCAAAGCAACAAGTACCAAACTTATGGGCTAGAGACATTACTTCTAGCTCAAATTTCAGGTTAATCACGATGAATCTAAATATAGATTTTGTGCTGCGTTATTATGGAACACGTACAAAAGTAGAACACCCTGCATTCAAGTTCAATCTTTTTTTGTTTGTTTGTTTGTTTTTTATCCAGGACATTTTAAAATATACTCATTGCAAAGAATACTTACAACGTCATAAGCTTGTGTCTTCTAATATTAAAATTCAGTTTGAGAAATGAAAAATATTAAATACATTTCAAATTACTTCTTTATGCTTGCTCCAAATATTTCAATACTTGCACTGTCCACAAGGGTGAAAGGGCATGGCTGGAGAAAAGGTGCCCTAGTCACAATCCACAAGCAGAGAGGAAAGGGGAGAGCAGGGGAGGGATGACACACCTTTGTCACACCCTCAGTGGGAACTCAGTGCACCTCTGACATTATGTATGTACAGCAGCCCCAAGGTTTAATCCTCCTCCCAAAGGCCTACCTCAGAGCACATAAGGCTGTGGGGGACATCTGTGAATGTTTTATATTTTATGAAAGCAAAAAGTTAAAAGCAATATTCTTGGTAGGATTAAAACAATATAGTTATAAAATTTCCAAAGATTGTTTTCCTTGCACTTTGAAAAGCAACTCATATAATTGCTGTAACAAAATTAGAGAAATACCAAGAAATAATTTTATAAAAAATTTTCATTTACAGTTAAAGATAAATTGTCATTCTACTAATCATATGTTTTTGAACTTTAATACAATTGACTTCATTGTTAAGCAAACAAGAAATATAGTCATACAAATAAAAAATACTAGCCTCTTTTGATTTATGGAATATTCGTTAATTAATAGTTAAAAATGATTAATGATAAGCTTAGAAAAAAACAATTTTACATCGACTCAATGTCTGTAAAATTATCACAACTAAAAAAAAACTATTTAAAATTTTTTGTACTTCATAAGAACAAAACAAGAAATTATTTAAATATTTTAAAATTATTTTTAAATGTGTCCAGTCAACCAGTATTATCTAAAATCTTTGGAGCTCATAAAATTAGAAATAATAATTTAATAACAGGAATAATATTCACAATAGTTGATCAAAAAAGACAAAGAATTTTTACTTTAGACATTAATACATGAAAAATTTCTAAAATATTTAGGAATTAGTAACATGATATTATAAAAATGTCTCATTTTATTCATATATATAGTAGCATAACACAAAATTTGAATACACAAATTTTGTGATATGATAGAGGTTAGTAAATTAACTGCAACTTCCTATTTTCTTGAGCAAAAAGAAGCACTACCAAATGTACTTTGCAGGGGAGAATTATACTAAAGAATACCAAAAGGATATGGCAATATTTACAACAATACAGTACAGTTCTGTCTGTGGTCCCTAGTCAAGTTTTCCTTAGTATTCCAATCACTTTCCATGTATAGCAAATATTTTCAAAGATTCTGATTTCCAATTTCAATGATAAATTTATTTTCATATTTTAAAGTAATATCCATTTAACAAAGCATCTGATTATATACAACAAACAGCATTCTGCTACACTAAGTAAAGTTATACTTACCAGAATCAATTTATCATTTTTAGAGCTCTGAAAATTTAATAGGTAAATGGACTATGTGTAGTAATTTTTTCAAGTTTTAAATATTTTTATTATTTATAAAATCAGCTAACACACATAAACATTTCTAGGGATCTAAAGACCCAAACTAAGGAATTAGAAATATAGTGTAAATTCAAAATGCAAATGTTTGGCACAGTAAAACATTTCTGATTTTGTGAGGCTATCTTTACAGAGTTAATTTTATAAAATGTACAGGTAAGATACATAAACAGTGCTTGTCATATGCAGAGGGACCAGACACTAACTATTGACCTTGACTTATTTCTAACGGATGGGTTATTTTTAAATATTATTTATGAAAAAAACAAATAGTAAAATATCTGGAAATTTAACAGCAAAAATACCATTAATGCTGTTACCAAATTACTAGTAGAACATAGCACTTAAATTTATAATAATAAAAAATAGAAACTTGTTTTTTATTATATAAGATATAAAACAATAAATTTACTGAATGTTTTGTACCTCTGATGATGTTTCCTTGTTGCTTTCAATTTACTAATATAGGCAAAATTAAGAAACTGTAATTATGTAGTATTATTAAATGACCTGTTGTTATTTTAGTTACTATCTTAGTTTTGTTTTTATTACTTTTAAGATTATAAGTAACATCATGAGAAAGGTTCATGTACATGTGTATAAAATTACAGTGGTATTTAAACATAATTGGACAATTACATAATTTAGTAATTTCTAGAAAATAAAATCTTATCTAAAGCCAAAAATAAATATTTGTGACTCAGAATTTTCTTTTAAATTGGAAAGACACTGATGAAAAGTAAATTGATATTTGGTATAACTACATAGTAGATATAGGTTATGTGAGTAACAGAATTAAAATTAGTATTCATTAATTTTACACTATATAAAAACAATAATTCTGTAGTTACTAATTTAAAATGCCAATGATAGTATGCTGTGAAGCTTTCAAAACATTAGTTTATCCAGTATTAATAAAAAAAATAATTAACTGTACTTGTAAGAAGCATGTTAAACAATTGCATATTTTCTCAAGTCTTTAGAAAATATGTCTTTAAAAAACAAAAGAAGAAATAGTACTACTGATAGTGTACCTCTCTACGTCTAGAAGCCCAGCAGGTTTGTTTGATCTTCCATACCACAGCAGCCACCAATAATAAGGATAAAAAGCAACTGGAAAGTAAAAAAGAAATAATTTTTTGCTCAATACATATTTGAAATATAATGAAATACATAGGAGAAAAATACATCAAAGTAATCACTTTGTCTTGATAAGTATTTCAAATAGTAAATTTATTCCATCTATTTTTAATTCCTTATAATCTAATATCTCCTTCCATAGTAACAAAAATATTAATACTATAATGGATGATATGTATAGAATATTCAATGCTGTAGAAAACATTTTCCTTTGAAATCCTTGAAACTCTATGTTACCAGAGCTTCTAAAAATAAAGTTTTTGATTAACAAATGTATTTTTCATTTAACAATACCAACCATTTCTTTTTTATTTTTTATTTTAGGGAAAGGTCTACAGGGTGTTCAGGGTCTCATCACTAGATCGGACTCATAGTGATCCACCTGTTTACAGCCTCCCAAGAGCTGGGATTACAGGCCACCACGCTCAGGTTCAACTGCCATCTCAGTGCACCCCGGAGGTGGGGCAGGTACGGCAGGCCTGGGGAACGAACCACTGGCTCCTTTAATCTGCTGAGCTATTTGGCTGGCCCAACCATTTGTAAAATTGTTTTTTTCTAAATGTTTTTATTTTTTCTTTATGTTTCGTGACTCAATACAGGATAAAGAATCCATGAAGGTAGGTTACATTCCCAATTCCTTTTAAAAAATTATGGACATTTTTAAAAACTCAGTTCATAGAAAACTATGTTCTTTTCTTGCTCTAGGAAAAGACAACTCAGAAATGCTCACGGTTTCAATTTTGATCTGACTGAAGTGATTTCTAAATCCACATCTTTAGTCCTGCAAGAATGGCAGCATCTTACCATTTAGCTCAAATGTCCTAACAGGAAAGAAATTCCTGACATACAACTTTGACAGTGATCAGACATCTAATAAAACATTCATCCTCCTTGAGAAGTTCCTTAATCACAATCCAGTTTTAATTACAATTGTAAACATTTTAAATCAATTTATGTCACTCTGTTTTCCAGGAAAAACTAAATCAATCTGCTACACACAAACATTACTTTATATATTCACAGAATATATATTGAAAGAAGCCTTTAGAATTTCCTCTTTTCCACTGCTCTTGTCCTATGGGATATTTGGTAATCCCTGGAAAATTTTCTGATGTTTCCATTTAAGAAAAGGTTAGTGACATTTTTATTAAGTATCCAACAGTATACATTTCCACACAAAAATAGAATGACTTTGCCACCCAAAACTGTAAAAGAATGCTTAACTGGATAAATTCCATTATAGTCTAACAATAATGATTATACTTCTCTTGTTATGCACAAATTAACAATATGAGAGTTAAAAATACATTACTCAGAGTTGACATGATAAACATAGAGTGAAGATCCATTCATTTATCTGTATTTCACTCAAAATACCATATAATTAAAAATTTTAGCATAGGAGTTATAAACTAAGCATGTCAGAACTGATTTATCAATAACATTTATAATAACTAGAGGCACCAGGGAGGAGTGGAGAGAAACTAGTAAAGGTATTTCCTATCTTTTGGAGTGATGAAAATATTCTAAAGTTAATTTTGATAATGTTTTTTAATGGTTTATTTTGATAATGGTTATTAGTGGTTGCAGAACCAATTAACATTGAACCTTAATGGCAGACATGTACAAGAATTATCTTTAAAATGCTGTTTGATAACAAGCTAAATATAATTAGAAAGTTGTTAAATTAGATGATATATAAAACTAAAAAGTTTAAAAGTACTGCCTTATTTTTCCATTATTCAGGGAGATAAAATACTGTTTGGCACCAGTATTATTTGTTTGTTTGTTTTTTAATTTATTTATTTATTTATGTGTGTGTGTGTGTGTGTGTGTGTGGCCAGCTCAGCCCACCAGGGGGCGGGGCTGGCTGGCATGTGGTGCTGGGGATTGAACCGCGGTCCCTGTGCTTTGCTAAGCTTGTTCTAAGTAGGTGCTTTAGACCACTGAGCCATCTCACCAGCCCACCAGTATTGTTATTCTTATTAATACTGATAGGAAAATGATTAAATAGAAAATAATTTTGATTCTGTTAAAATGAGAATTAAGGCACTTTAACAGCTCATGCAACATAATTGAACACAGGAGCAGTAGAAAGATTACATACATTTTAAAACTTAGAAGACTAAAAACAAATTACCACAAAAATGAACACAAATTGGCTCCATAAATTTCCATTTACTTCCCTGTCAATTAAAATTCTGAAATCTTCTGATTATTAAAACAAACTATTTGGAATTCTTTCTAAATTTGTGGTATAAACAAAATACATATAAAATATAATAAAATTTCCCAAGAAGGAAAAAGTTATATCTGGCAAATTCTAAGAGATATTATCGTATATTTATTTCAGACAAAATATACTTGAAACAAAAGTATTTTATAGGGACTAAGAATATTTCAAATGATTAAAATAATTCAACACCAATTTCAGTGATTAATAAAACAAGCAGATAAGTGAGGAAATAGAGAACTTAAAACTTGAAAAACAAGATCTAAACAAGCCAATTTATATTACTGTATGTAACAACAATACAATACACATTCTTAAAAAGCATACTGGGTATTTTGTAGGAGAGACATTAGGATACAAGCTAAGTCAAAATAAATTTAAAAAGATAGATATCATGCAAAATATCTTCTTTGATTGCAATAAGATAAAGTAAGAAATCAAGAATGAAAAACTAAAAACTTCATAAAAGTGAAAATTAGATGACATCCTCTCAAACAACCAACAGATCAAAGAACAGGTGAAAATAGACACTATAAATACTTACAAAAAATAAAAACATAACATACCAAAACATATGGTACATGGTAAACTCAAAGCTAAGAGGAAACTGAGTGATAAAACCTCATAAAATATTATAAATCAACAATTTTGCTTCACTATCTAATGAACTAGAAATAAAAAATCTGAATGTAAAGCTAGTAGTCAGAGGAAAGAAATAATAAATATTATATTAGAACATAGGTAATTGATAGAAAAAGAAATCCTTCTCAAACTTTCCCCTAAAACTAAGGAGTAAAGATCTCTTAAATCATCCTATGACCCCGAATACTGCATATTAAAGTTTCTGAATGCACTTGAAGCATACTAAGTATCAAGTACTAAATATTTAATATCACAGAAAGACCTATATCAAGAAAAATGATAATCAAGCTGCTCAAAGGCACAGACCAAGAAAGAAAATATTGGAAACACCAAAAGAAAAGAGGCCACTCATATACAAGGGAGTTTTCATTAAATTATCTACAGATTTCACAGCAAATACATTTCAGACTTGATGAGACTAGGATAGTATATTGAAAATGCTATAATCAAAACAAGTTACCAGTGCAAAATACTATGCTTGGCCATTCAACCATAAAAGAGAGGGCCCAAAGAGAAATTAAGATTATCCCACATAAAAGTAGTGACTGAGTTCAGTGTTATTCCCTTATTACTTCATAACTGCTAGAATCCTTCAACTAGAAGAGAAAGGGTGATAAACAGCAACAAAGCAACATACTAAAATATAAAACTCTTTAACAATATATACAAACATAGAATTTTGGTTGGTATGTAGGTGTCCCCCAAAGCTTTATATAGTCACTGGAGTAGGCTTCTAAACTTTGTGATTAATTAATGATCCAATTCTGAGATTATAAGTGAGAGTGCTGCTGGGATTATGGGTGTGAGTGCTACACTCAGCCTGGGGCAGATAGCTTGAATGCAATTCAAGTAAGAAAGATAGGCTTTTTCTCTAACTCTGCGTGTCATTTGTTGCTGTTGTTCCAGCCTTTTTGCTCATGCTGTATTGCCCTCTACCATGTGCCATTCTGCCCTGGAGCCCACAAAATATGAACTCAATAAAACTTTCCTTCCCTGATTTTGGGTGTCAGGTATTTCATTCAGGCAAGTGAAAAGTAACACAGACAGAATTTGGTACCAGAAATGGAGTGATTGCTCTGACTGTACCTGAACATGTCTTTCAAGTGCATTTAGGAATGGCTAATAGGAAGAAACATAAAAGGTTTGGAGATGTCACCTGAAAGAAAACCACGGGAATCCTTCAGCTGTTGTGTATGGGAAATTCTGGTTAGAGCTCAGAAGATGAGAATGATGACAGAAATCTTACTGATAAAGACCAGGCTGGGGAGGTTACTACTGGGAAGAAGGACTGCATTGGTTGTTGGAATCAAGACAAAGTATGTTATGGCTTGGGAGAAAGTTTTTCTGCATTTTTCTTCTGTTTAGAAACTTTGCCTGAGACTGAGATTAAGCATGGCAGGCTGATTAAATCTTGCAAGAAAAATTTCAAGGCAGTCGCATGTTGAGGCAATGGCATGGCGATTGTTGGGAGCTTTTAGTCAGATTTATGTTGAGAATCAAGAGCAAGGAGCCAGGAGGATGATATAAAATGTGGCCAAAATTTGGCCAAAAAGAAGCTCCATTTAGCTCTTTACTGTGTTTCTGCTGCCATGAATAGCTGCCCTCTGCCATGTGCCACTCTGCCTTAGAGCCAGCTGAGTATGGACTGAAACCTCCACAAAACATTAGCCAAATAAACCTTTTCTTCCTCGATATTTGGCATTGGGTATTTTGTCCCTGCAACAATTGAAAAGTGACTGAGACATTCACTTTCAAATCTGATGTAAAACTTTCAAAATCAAAATGATAAATGTAATTATAAATCTATGTTACATATGGATAACAAAAAATAGGTAATTCTGTCATTAGCATTTAAAAAAACAGGAAAGTCAGAAATATAAGGAAGTAAAGAACATTTATGGGATATATTATTATCCATTCTAAATAGATATTTATAAATTTAAGATGCTTTACATAACTACAGTGGTATCACAAATAAAAAATGTATAGGATATACACAAAAAGAAATTAAAAAGTATTATTTTTAAAAGCATATTGGGCATCAAAAAGGATAACTGTAATACAAATATTAAAAGGATACAGTTAAGAATTTCTTTTT